GAGATAGCGAGAGAGTACAGAGAGAGCGAGGAGAGAGAGAGAGCCAGAGAAGAGAGAAGGAGAGAGAGAGAGAGAGACCGAGAGAGAGAGAGAGAGAGACGATAGAGATGAGAGAGAGGAGAGACGACCAGAGAGAGATAGAGAGAGAGAGAGACATGAGACGAGAGAGATAGAGAGAGATAGAGAGATAGATGAGAGAGAGAGACGAAGAGAGAGAGAGAGGGGGGGGTGGATGAGAGTAGAGAGAGCTGAAGACAGAGAGAGAGAGAGAGATAGACAGAGAGAGAGAGACAGAGCGAGAGAGAGAGAGAGCACGAGAGAGAGAGAGAAGAGTAGAGAGAGAGCGAACAGAGAGAGAGGAGAGACAGAGAGAGAGAGAGAGACAGAATGAGATAGAGAGAAAGAGAGAGAGAGAGAGATGGGAGGCGAAGAGAGGAGAGAGAGAGAGAGAGAGAAGAGATTACAGAGGAAGAGAGAGAGAGAGAGAGAGAGACGAGAGAGAGAGAGAAGAGATAGAGAGATACACACACAGAGGAGAGAGAGTGAGAGAGAGAGAGAGAGAGAGAGAGAGTAGAGAGAAGAGAGAGATAGAGATAGAACACCCACAGATACGAGAGAGAGAGAGAGAATAAGAAAATACGATCAGAGAGAGACACAAGAGAGAGAGAAAGAGAGAGAGAGAGAGACACAGAGAGAGATGAATATAGGAGAGATATAGAGAGAGATATGGAGTAGCGATAGAGAGGGAGAGAGAGATAGAGACGGAGAAGAAGAAGACAGTAGAGCGATACAGAAGAGAGAGAGACAGGACGATAGAGAGACAGATAGAGATGAAGACATAGAGAGAGATACAGAGAAGAGAGACATAGAGAGAGTAGAACAGAGGAGAGAGACAGAGACAGAGAGATGAGAGAGAGAGATAAGAGAGGTGGAGCGAAGAGAGAGAATGAGTATAGAGACTACAGAGAGAATATACAGAGAGAGAGTACCGATCGATATAAGATGATAGAGATAGACAGGAGAGAGAGACATACAGATATAGATACATCTATAGAGATACATATAGAGATATAGAATATATATATAGATGGATAGAGATGATAGAGATAGACATAGATAAGATACAGATAAGATATGATGATAGAGATGAGGAGAGTAACAGTAGAGAGAGACATATATATATATATATAGAAGAGATATATACGAGAATATATGACATATAGAGAGACAGAGATAACAAAAAAGAAAGATATTGAAAAAAAATGTAGGAATGAAAGAGTGGAAAAAAAATGTGAGATAGAGAGATATATAGATAGAATATAGACAGATGATAGATATGAGTAGAGGACAATAGAGATCATAGAGAGAGACAGATAGATAGTATATATAGATTATTACTAGAAGATACATAGTATAGAGACATATATATATATACATAATATAGAGAAACAAGAGAAGATACAATAGATAATATACAGATATATATATCGATATATAGATATATATATATATATATATAATATAGATATATAAGATATACATAGAGAGTAGAGATGATATATAGACAGAAAGATATATAGACAATATGTATCGTATATATATAGATATAGAGATAAGATAATACATAGATGAGAGATACAATAATATATATATATACAGATAGAGATAGTATACAGATATAGATAGAAAGGTTAATATAATATACATATAATATATACATATATATATATCTACATATATATATAGTCCATATACATATATAGATAGTACAATATACTATATACATAACATATATACATATAAAATATTACTATACATATATACATATACATATATACATATACATAGTATACATATACATATGACATATACAAATATGTATATATATGTATGTATATGTATAAATGTATATGTATATATAAATTGTGTATGTGTATATGTATTAATGTATATGTATATAAGGAATGTATATATATATATATGTATATATATATATATATATATATATATATTGTATATGTGATATATATATATATATATCTTAATATATTGTATGTATATATATATATATATAATGTATATGGATAATATATGTATATGTATAGATTGGTATATGTATATGTATATAGATATGTATATATATGTATTATGTATATATAGAGTATATGTATATATCTATATGTATATGTATATATATATAGGTATATGTATATCTGTATATGTTATAATATTTGTATATAATATATATATATAACGATATATAATATATATAATTATATAGATAACTATATATATATATTATACAATAATATATCTACATTATGTATATATATATATATCGATATATATACTATATATAGTATACATATATGTATATGTATATGTATATAGTATATGATATATGTAATATTGTATATATGTATATGTATATATATATATGTATAGGTATATATGGTAGATGTAATATATATATATATATGTATATGTATATATATAATAT